TTACTGGTTGGTTGAAGAGTCTTACGGACTTTTTGGCCTGGGCTGGCTTCAAACAGCAATCCTCAGATCTCAGCCTCCTGAGTAGCTAGGATGACAGGCATGAGCCACGGGTGCCCAAAGAGTATACTTTTATGGAGTAAAGATCTGTTGAAGTCCCTGAGTGCAGATGACTACAGAATTTTCAAAGATTAGAGCCTCTTATACTTGTATGTCAACCTATGTGATTCCTGATTACAGTGTTTCTTTGCATGTTTGTTTTTAGTGTTTTCATTGTCCACAGTGCCTTTCCAAACCTCCATTATGACCTGATGAAATTCTACTTCTCATTTAAGGTCCAGTTCAAAGGCTTCCTCCAACCTGGCTCATCGGTTGCCCTGGAGACTAATGCCCAGCCTGCCCTCCTCTCTAGCATTTTGTCAGTTACACTTCTCCTTCTATCCCTGGTCATTTCTTTTTCTTTCTTTCTTCCTTTTGTTTTTTGATCAGTCAAGGGGTTTGAACTCAGCTTTTTTGGCTCAAGGCTAGTGCTCTACCATTTTTTTTTTACAATAACCACCACAGATCAAGACTTTATTTAATCCTTAAGTAGCTGTACCAAGGGGTTTCAATTTTACATGTCAGTTTGTGAGTACAATGCATCTTGATCAAGGTCACCCCTTTCATCTTTCTTTCAACTCCACCCAACTCGTCAATTTACTGAGATTCATTTAGAATTTTATCAAACTCTAGTTGTTCAAAGGAATTACGCCATTGGAATCCTCCCCTGCACATACCATACATTAGTTTATATGTATATGTTTACATATATGCTTATAATTTAGATCCACAAGTGAGAGAAAACATGTGTCCTTTGTTAAGTGAAATAAATCAGGCCCAAGACTTGATCTTGAAAACTATGTTCTCTCTGATTCCACAACGTAACTACTGTTTCTCCCTCTCATTGAGCCAGGGGAACACAGTTGCATACGCTGCGAGCGCTCTAGCACTTTGAGTCACAAAGCTACTTCCAGTTTTCTGGTGGTTCATTGGAGATGAGAGTCTCAGGCCTTTCCTGCCCAGGCTGGCTTTGAACCACAATCCTCAGATCTCAATCTCCTCAGTAGCTAGGATGGCAGCATGAGCCACTGGTACCCAGCATCCCTGATCATATCTATCATCTTTAATGGCTGCTCTTCTATCATTTTTGTAATGAAGCCTTGAGAATTAAGTGTCTGGGAATCCTGATTTGCTGTTTATTACCTATAATCATGCAAATCCCTCTAGTCTAATCTCCTGGGAATACGTCCTTCTTTGCATTGTAAAATTTTATTTCTTGAACTATCGCTTCAATTCTTGAGCTGATTTCTGGACACAGCCACTTGGATGTCACTATCACCTCAAACTTAAAATATACAACCAACTTACATCTTTACCCTGATCCCATACATTCACCCCAATTTCTTTACTTAAATCCAGAGCTACCCATGTGTTCTGAGTCGTTAGGGCTTTACATGGTGAAATCGTTCAGTTAATGTTGTCTTTCTTACCTATGTCCAGCCAAACAGATCAGAGCTGAGCTTAAGTCTTATATCTTCCATGAAAGCAATCCATTTTGCTTTCTAGCCTGGAGCCTTCCATGCTGAAGATTTTTTTTTCTCTGCTCAGTTTCTCTCTTAGATTCCAGTAGGCTAAAACTGAATTAATTTTTCTTGTTGTTCACTTGAAGAACATCATTTTCTTATCTTCCTGCCCTTTAATAACTTTACCCACCTGCTCTCCCGTCAACCAAACCAGGACAATCATTCCCTAAGTACCCTCCCCTAACACAATGCACCAGTTTCCATGCTTATGCTCACATACAGCATTCGTTCTCAGCTCTGCTTGACTATATTCTCTTCATGTTCTGGGAGTGGGGTCATTGCCATCCTCTACCAGAGGAGATGCCTGGATCTTTCCATCCCTATGGAAATCTATTCTTCTTTGGAGGCAGTCAGTGCTGAGTACAAAGGCAAAAGGGGGATACTTTGGCCCTAGACAAATTTAGATGTCTACCCCAGTAATGTCATTTATTAACTGTGTACCTTTGCTTCTCCAAACATCACTTTCCTCATCTATGAAAAAAACAGGGAAAATTATTAGTATCTTACAAAGTTGTACAAACGTTAAAATAAGATCATGGCAATGGGCTTGGAGCGTGGCAACTACAATGATTTCCACAGATTCTTTGGGTTTCTTCCATGGCTGAGACACTATTCACAGCTCTAGAGGATGTTACTTTGAAGACTGCCATTTGCAGTTGTGAACTGCTCACATATCATTACTATGATTTGTACACAATAGGTCTAAGAATCCATTAGTTATTGCCAAGTTGCTTCCATATTTTCCATTGCTCAGTCATCTATAAGCTTCTGAGGAGAGGGGGAGGTAGGGAACAGCTAGACCTCTTGCCTATAGTCCCATCAAGTGCTAATTTCTGGCCCCATTGCTCACCACTGTCATCTGTGCCTCTACACTACTGCCCCTTTTTCTGACGACCCCAGTCAGATTTTCATGTCTTTGCATAAGGCCATTTTCTGGGCCGGAATAATGCCTATATACTGTAGTTCTTGAGGTGTTTTTACTCTGTCCCCTCCTCCCACTAAATTGTGTCAGTCTTACTTGCCAGGATCTACCATAGTGCTTGGCACATAGAACTATTTGCAATTAGCATTGGCTGCATGAATCTACTGCTTCCAGGGATCATTACCTGGTTTTCCTCAAGAAGGGATGAGGGAGATTTAAGTGAACTATGGTGTATCATGACTATATTTCTTTGTGTGTGTGTGTGTGTGTGCGTGCACACATGTACGTGTGTGTGCGTGCATGCTGGACTTGAAGATTGAACTCAGGGACTGGGTGCTGTTTCCGAGCTCTTTTGCTCAAGGCTAGCACGCTAACACTTTGAGCCACAGCTCCACTTTCAGTTTTCTGATGGTTAATTGGCGATAAGAGTCTCACAAGTTTTCTTGCCTTGGCTGGCTTTGAACTGCTATCCTCAGATCCTAGCCTCCTAAGTAGCTAGGATTATAGGCATGAACCACCCGTGCCTAGTATGACTACATTTATATTCTGTACTTGTTTTTTTTTGGGGGGGTCCGATCGTGGGGCCTGAACTCTGGGCCTGGGCGCTGTCCCTCAGTTCTTCACCTCAAGGCTAGCACTCTACTACTTGAGCCACAACGCCACTTCTGGCTTTTTTCTTTTTGCTTATGTGGTGCTGAGGAATCGAACCCAGGGCCTCATGCAAGGCAAGCACTCTACCACTCAGCCACCTTCCCAGCCTTCTCTGCTTGTTTAAAGAACTTTATATTAGCATGTGCAAACATGTACTAAAAACATTGTCTGCCTCTTAAAATTTCTGTTGACAAAATTATGTAGATTTATGGTGTGAAATTGAAAGGGGTGACATTAATCAAGATATATTGTATTGAAAACTGCTTTGCTAAATGGCAACTACTTTGTACAACTACTTAAAGATACTGAAAATAATGCCAGATATACCTTAAAAAGAATCTTCACATTGAATTAGTCAGAGGGATATATTATGTCTTATTATATTACTTTGATAAACTAGATTCTTGGCAGGGTAACTACCTTTAAAATTGTTATTATATTAGCAATAAAAAGGAATGCATAAACTCTGTGTAACAACAACAAAAACCAGTCTGCTTCTCAGTAGGTATGTGACCTTGGGCTACATTCTTAGTCACTGTATCTTGGTTTCTTTATTTGTACAATGGGTGTGATAAGAATGTTGCTCTCATAGGGTTGTAGCAAGGATCAAATGAGATGCTTTTTCTATCAGCCGTGTTTTCTCTCTAGATGATCCCAGGACAGGATCCTTCTTCAGGACATTCTAGATCAGTTCATATGACAAGTCCTCAGATGGCTTTTGTGACAACTCTAGTGTCTCTCATGTCCCCTTGTTTTAACTTCTCCACAGCATTTGTCACCATCTGAATTTATCATTGTTTACCAGCTGTGTGACCTCAATTTTTCCAAGTCCTTTTCTGCTCATTGCCATATCCTTAATGCCTAGAGTCACATCTGGTATAGAGTAACACTGAATAACAAGTATTTGTTGAATAATACACTTACTATTCCAAGCCTTTGAGAAAGCTAATGGACAAGCAAACTTAAGTGAGATTTTTGTCTTTTCTTTTCGTGTGTGTGTGTGTGTGTGTGCTGGTACCAAGGGTTACATTCAGGGCCTGGATAGTGTCCCTTAGCTTTTTCACTCAAGGTTGGTGCTCTACTACTTGAGCCATACTTCTACTCCTGGTCTTTTTAATGGTTAATTGGAGACAAGAGCCTCAGGGACTTTCTCCCTGGGCTGGATTTGAACCATGATCCTCAGATCTCAGTCTCCTGAGTAGCTAGGATTATAAGCGTGAGCCACCAGCACCCAGCTTGGTGAGATTTTTCTAATTGATCATCTTGGTGGGAGAGCCTCCTTTCAAGGAATTATTAGTCTGTGACTAAAACATGGTTCAATTGAGCCTCAGGCACCGATGAGGGATGTGACTTATGTAATTCTTAGAATTACTGGTGGTTTCAAAGTCATTAGTACAATGATGCTTTGATTGCATGAAAAATGATAGAGCTGTAATTGGATCTATGAAGATATATAGCTTCAGTGGTATAATGGAGAGGTTCAGGTAGGGAAATCTTCTTAGAGGAACTAAATGGAGAGCAAAAGGCATCCTACAAAGAAAAGACCCAGGCAAACCACTTTGAAAACTGCTACATTTATTCAACAAAAACACTCCTAGTTCATTTTTATGCCATCAGATTTTTCTTTCTTCCAAAAGGTATACGGGGGGGGGGGGGAACCACTACAAATGGAATGAGAAGTTACTAGAAGTTGTCCTTTCTCAAAAGGACTCCTAGGAGGACCTTAAGGGTACTTATTTTTCTGATAATAGGAAACACTACATTCTAATTCTAAAAAGGTAATCTTCAGAAGACTCAAGACTGGAGGATCACATGGGCCCCATGAGATCGTCGGAGCGAAGACACCAGTCCTCAGAAGAAATGGCAGGAAGTTGAGGTGACGGCATCGGACGGGCCCCCTGGGCCTCTGCTTGCTGAGGTGCATTCTGGGTACGGTCTTCATTGAAGACATAAGGTGGACAATCGCAGACAGGCCTTTGGTTGGACGAGTTTAACATCTCACAGCATGGTTTACCTTTCTGAGCTACTGCAGAACTTTCTTTGGCTACTCTCATGGAATAGGGCTTAGTGAGCCAAGGGGAGCGCCTGGGGGCAGCGCAGGACACTGGGATCACATATCGAGATGATGTGCCCTTAGAAGCATAGTGTATCTCAGTGCTGTAGATAACTATGTCTTCCGAGACGGCCTTGGCTCTAATGCCACATTCAGTAACCCGGTAGGTGAACTGGTAGAAATGGGACTGAACATGATTAGGAGGACAACCTAGACCCAAGTGGAGCTCATAAAAGTGGACGTATACATCGTTGTTCAACATGAACGGGTGGACTGTGACCATGAACCAGTCCATGGAACATAGTACAGTCATTGAGCTTTGTCCAGAACAGACTGCAAACATGGCAGCGAAGAAGATCAGGCCTCCTACCAACTCAAAAACTTTCATCCTTGCAGCCAATCAGGTGACAGCCCACAGGAAACAGGAAGCTGGTCCAGAGAGGAGTTCTAAGGCACACAAAACACAGGACAGAAATCATGTGAAATATGATCTTCACTTGCTTTTCAACAAAAGCTTATTCCTAAATCGTTAAGAAGAGGAGGAAATTTAGATGAGATAAAATTCCATTTTAATATTATTGTTAGATTTCATCTTTTTATTGGTGTTGATAATGGCTTCTTTTGCTTTTTTTTTTTCAATGCTGAGGATGGAACCCACGGTGTTACACACATCAGGCAAGCCCTCTGTGCCTAAGGTACATTGCCAGCTCTACAATGGCTTCTTTGTGCCAGTGCTGGTTAATTGGAGATAAGAGTCTCACTGACTTTCCTGCCCAGGCTGGCTTTGAACTGCAATTCTCAGATCTCAGACTCCTGAGCAGCTAAGATCACCAGCATGAGACATCAGTGCCAAGCTACAAATTACATATTTTAGTAGCTTTACTATATTGTTTTGTTATAAAATGCACACATCATTCATGTGTAGGATGAGAGTTGACACTAATCAGAAGTGGTATCCCATTGTGTGTCATCGTAACATGAAGCCAAACCAATACTGTGTTTCATGTCAAACAAAGCATTCAGCCTTAAAGGGTCTCAATGTCCTCATATAGATGATCTGAATGGACCTTTCCTTATTGTCTTTTTCTTTGTTTGTTTTGTCTGTCCTGGGGCTTAAAAGCGCTGTCCCTTAGCTCAAGGCAAGCACTCTACCACTTGAGCCACAGTGCCACTTCCTGTTTTCTGAGTGGTTTATTGGAGACAAGAGTCTCATGGACTTTCCTTCCTGGGCTGGCTTTAAACCCTGATCCTCAGAGCTCAGCCTCCTGAGGAACTAGGATTACAGGCGTGAGCCACTGGCGCCTGCTGCTTATTGCCTTTAAAATTTTTTTTAAATTTTTTTATTGTGAAAATACTGTACAGAGGGGTTACAATTACATGGGTATTGCCTTTTTTGTTGTTAGTAACAAGATTAATTTAAAAGACTTAAGTAAAAAAAATGTAGCTTATTCCTGACAACCACATATTTTTGCAATTTTGCAGAGTAGCTCACTTAAAAGTGAACAAAACTCCAGCAGGAGCATCCTAAGTCATCATGGCCAGAGGATTTCCTGATACACCCATGAGGTTACTTTGTAAAATAATAAAATGCAAAAAGAGAAAAACATGCTGTTTTTTATTAGCATATATTAATTGTACAGAGATTTCATTGTAGTATTTCCATACATGAATAAAATGTCCTTTGATCATATTTACCCTTTCTGTCTTTCTTTCTTTCCTTCTTTCTTTTTCTTTCTTTCTTTCTTTCTTTTTCTTTCTTTCTTCTTCCTTTCTCTCTCTCTCTCCTTCTTTCTTTCTTTCTTCCCTCCTTCCTTCCTTGCTTTCTTTCTTTCTTTGTCTTTCTTTCTTTCTTCTTTCCTTCCTTCCTTCCTTCCTTTCTTTCTTGTTTTTTATTGCTATTTTTTCTTTTCTTTTTTTTAATTTAAATTTTTATTTTTTGTGAACATACTGTGCAGAGGGGTTACAATTACATGGGCATTGCAGCCTCCTCCTTTGTTTACCCTTCACATCCCTTCTCAGCCTCCCCCCAACCCCCCACCCAATCCTCCCCTTTTTATTGTTATTATAAAGACTTTTTTTTGGTGCCAGTCCTGGGGCTTGAACTCAGGGCCTGGGCATCCCTGATCTTCTTTTGCTCAAGGCTAGCACTCTACCACTTGAACCACAGTGCCACTTCTGGCTTTTTCTGTGTATATGGTACTGAGGAATCGAACCCAGGGCTTCATGCGTGCTAGGCAAGCACTCTACCACTGAGCCACCTTCCCAGCCCTTTATTGTTATTATATAGGTGCTGTACAGAGAGGCTACAGTTTCATAAGTCAGGCAATGAGAACATTTACTTCTGGACAATGTTACACCTTCCTTCCCTCTCTCTCTCTCCATTTTTCCCTTGTGTCTCCACCCACAAAGTTGTATAGTTCATTTTCAATGTAGTGTCTCCTTTTCCTTTCACCTTCTACCTCCCTAGTGGTTTCCATTTTTCTTTTATGATCTTTTTGTTTTATTTTGGCTTGTTTTGTTAGCTTCCACATATGTGAGAAAACATATGGCATTAGTCTCTGTGGTACAGACTCATTTCACATATAGCTTTACCCATTTTCTAGCAAACAACAAAGTTATTTGTATCTCTTGTCTCTTAACAACTCTTTTCCTCCATCCCCTCCTCCTCCACCACCTCCTCCTCCTCTTATTTCTCCTTCCCAAACAGTCACTCTACCACTTGAGCTACAGTCTCAGTAATTTATTCGTCTTTAATGGCCTAGTAAAACTCCACTGTGTATATATAGCACATAGTATTCATCCATTGATCAGTTGATGGGCACCTAGGGTGATTCTATACCTTGCAATTGTAAATTCCTTGTTGACTTACACACTTTTCGTTACATGCCCAGGAATACTAGAGCAGGAAGTTCTATTTTCTTCTAGGAACCTCTATATGGATTTCCATAGTAACTACCAATTTGCATTTCTACAAAGATTATATAAGGGTTCTTCCTCTCCACACCATCTTTTCTAGCATTCATTGTTATTTGTTTTCTTCATGATAGCCATTGTGAGTAGGGCGAAGTGGAATCTCAGCGTAGAAAAACATTCTGGTTTTTAACTTTACATTTTTCAATGTCTATTGCACATGAAAATGACTTAAAAGCCCCACTTTTTTTAAAAAAAGGGAGAATAGGGACTTGGTTCAAGTGATAGAGCCCTGTCTAGCAAGCATGGAGGCCCTGAGTTCAAATCCCAGGATGGTCAGTGTGGGGCGGGAGAAAGGGAGCATTAAGTTTTCACTTTCTTCACTGAGTGACAAACTATTTCCTAAAATCTTTGCTCTAGATTCTTCTTTTCTGTTCCCCAGGTTTTTGTCTTTTTCTTAGTTGGAAGCTCAGTGGCCATATACTAGTTCTGTTGCCTTTTATGTCTGAAGGAGTAGTAGGCAGAGTAGTAGGGAGGAAAAACAAAGTAAAGCTAAGATTAAGCATCTAAAATAATGATACCAGAAGGGGATGAAAAGTAAAGAAAGAACACAGGGAAGGAGGGAAGGGTGAGAAATAAGAAGAAGGAGAGGGAAACAGATGAAAGGAGAGGAAGTAGAAGGAGAGCAGGAAGGAAGGAAGGGAGTGATGAAAATAGAGGGAAAGGGAAAAAGAAGGAAGGGGCAAAGGAGTAGAAAGAGAGGGAGGGAAGAAGATAGGAAGTGAAGAAGGGAGCTGAGAGAAATATGGAGAGAAACAAGGAGGAGAGGGAAAGATAGATAAAAGTATAGGGCCGAAGGGAGAGGAAGGAAAGAAAGAAGGAAGGAAGGGAGAAAGGGAAGAAAGGAAAGGGACAAGAAAGAAGAAAGGGATGGAGGAAGGGAGGGAGAAAGAAGGCTGGAAGGAGAAGGGAGGGGGAGGAAATGGGAGAGGGAAAGGGAAAGAGTAAGCAATGACCACATGAGATAATGTTAAGCAAAATGTACTCCAAGACAGGGATACAAGAGTCTTTTTTTCTTTCTTGCTAGTGTTTTTAATTTATTTACAATGCACTATGTGATTCTTTTGTTTGTATTGTATGTTCTTCCCCCATGGCATAACCCCTGTTTTCACTAGATTTGATGCAGGTGTTCTGCACCTTGTATATACATTCTTGTAATTTGGGGAGTGGAAGGGATATTGTGGAATACTTAAATGGGGTTGCAGGCTGACCCATTGTGATGATGAGATGTACAGGACACTATATTGAAAATAAACTTTACAATTTCGGGGTGGGGGGGCTGGAGGAGTCAGGGAATTTGGGAGGGAAGTGATGGTAAGGGGAAAACAAAGGAGGAGGTAACAATGCTCATTATGAAATGTACTCATTACCCTATTCATGTAACTGTAACCCCTCTGTACAACATTTTTACAATACACGCACACATGCATGCACACACACACACACACACACACACACACACACAGAGTAAGGAACCTGGAGATGGAACAAAGAGGGAGGGAAGGAAGGAAGGGAAGGAGGGAAGGAGAAAGGGAGGACACCATGAAATATTGTTCAATTTAGCTTTCATTTTAAAAATGAAAATGGCTGAAAATGAAATAAAAAAAGTTATGGAATAATGGGATTTGCTTTCCTTCCCTGCTCAGACAGGTAACCCTTGTATAAATGATTTCATTTCCAGATTGATATTTATTGTCTACTATGTTCACAGAGCCAGGCTAAAAGACAGCAGAGAGCTGGGCTAAAAGACAGCTGAAGACCTTTCTTTCCTCCCTCTTCCCTAGTTGCAAAGATGTAGCTCTTTCTTTTCCTATGCTCTTGATGAAATGGCTATATTCCTTAATGGAAACCATAGCATAGGGGTGGACTAGTCAAATGCATTGGCCTGGATGAAACACTTTGTTTCTCATTGATATAGCTCAAACACCTTGTCCTTCTTCAATGACTCCTCATTCTCTTGTGAGTGTTGGGGTATAAAGAGAAGCCAAAGGGATTCACCTGGCTCCTTCCTTTCCTCTTTGTTCATTCTTAAACATCTCTCCTGGGGCTGCTTCCCCCCTCACCCCACAAAGCAAAAATAGAAGCAGCAGTCACATACACACACACACACACACACACACACACACACACACATACACACACACACACACACACACACACACGCCATATCCTATCTCTGTACATTTCCTCAGGCCTCCAAACTAAAACAAACAACACAACAACAAAAACAAATAAATCCTGATGTGAGTTGGTCCTGGATGAATCACCATTTGAATAAACAAACCACTTTGGTCCAGAATTATACATGCTTTATGTTGTATGCTGAGCTTCCTTTGGGTAGCTGAGAAAATCACCCCTCACTTCTCCATTCTTGTCTTGGTGTAAAGGAGACTATCTTGTGTAAGCATACTTCAGGAA